GGTCTTTCTCATCCCCTCCTGCCTGGTCCTTTTTAACTGGAGATGCTGGGGACTGAACCTGGGACCTCCTGCGTGCCAAGCAGAGGCTCTTCCACTGAGCCAGGGTCTCAGGTCAAGGTCTTTCTCATCACCTCCTGCCTGTTCCTTTTAACTGGAGATGCCGGGGATTGAACCTGGGACCTTCTGCATGCCAAGCAGAGGCTCTTCCACTGAGCCAGGGTCTCAGGTCAAGGTCTTTCTCATCACCTCCTGCCCGGTCCTTTTAACTGGAGATGCCGGGGATTGAACCTGGGACCTTCTGCATGCCAAGCAGAGGCTCTGCCACTGAGCCAGGGTCTCAGGTCAAGGTCTTTCCCATCCCCTCCTGCCTGGTCCTTTTTAACGGAGATGCCGGGGATTGAACCTGGGACCTTCTGCATGCCAAGCCCAAGCAGAGGCTCTTCCACTGAGCCAGGGTCTCAGGTCAAGGTCTTTCCCATCACCTCCTGCCTGATCCTTTTATTTGGAGCTGCCAGGGATTGAACCTGGGACCTTCTGCATGCCAAGCAGAGGCTGTATCACTGAACCAAAGCCCCTTCTAATTTGGAGTAACCATACTGGGTCAGAACAATGGTCCAGGATCCTGCTTCCAACTGCAGTCAATCACAGGGAAGCCCAAATGCAGGACCTGCAGATAACAGCCCTCACCTGCTGACTGCTTCTTCACATCTATCAGAGGGGAACTGCTTTTCAGCCCAGAAGCCCCATTCAGGTCGTCCCTGGTTAATAAGGTGGTGGCAAATCCACTCTCCATCAGCCTCCCCAGCCCCCCATTTTAAAATCCACCTAAACCAGTGGCCCTCACCATATCTTGCGGCAGAGAGAACCACAATTCAACTGCCCAATGTGTTCAGTCTCGAATCCACCACCAATCAATGCCTTCCCCCCAAAAAAAGTCAGAAGAGCCCTGCTGGATCAGACCAGTGAGGGTCCATCCAGTCAAGCATCCCATCTCACACAGGGGCCAGCCAGTTCCCCTGGAGGTCCAGCAACAGGGCAGAGAGGCCGAGGCCTTCCCCTGAGAAGAACACCAGGAGAGCCCTGCTGGGTCAGACCAGGGAGGGTCCCTCTAGTCCAGCCTCCCGTCTCAC